TCTCTCTCTCTCTCTCTCTCTCTCTCTCTCTCTCTCTCTCTCTCTGATCATGCGATCGCTTTCTCGTTTTACAGAAAGGCCAGACGAAAGGAGAAGGATGCGGGAACCACGGAGGATCCGAAATTGTACCTGGAGGAGGCCACCCTCGAGAGGCAGCTACCAGAATTGGACCTGAGAATGCTCGTGGACCTACCACCCGGCCTCGACTATAACGAGTGGTTGGCGTCACACACCCTCGCACTGTTCGATCATATCAATCTCGTCTACGGCACGATATCCGAATTCTGCACCATGACGGGCTGTCCCGACATGACTGGTCCCGGCTTAAGGTACATAGGTTTCGTCGCCCAAACAAATTTACACGTATACGTTAAACAACGACTTTTTCAATCACAATTTTATCGTGATAAATATCTCTTTTGATAATCGGAACTGAACAACAGATCGATTCTCGATCTGTATGCGCATATGATATCTTTGCTCTAAACGCATAGTCATGTCGTTTTTTTAATAGAACACATTACACACATTTCGTTAACGCAGCCTTGGAATTTGATCGAAATCAATTATTGTATGCCATACGAAACGTCGTTGTAATTCTGCACTCGAAACAGCCGATTGATCTGTGACTGTGATTGATTCATTGTTCCAGAACGTATCTGTGGTTCGATGAAAAGGGGAAGAAAGCGAGAGTTGCGGCGCCACAATATATAGATTACGTTATGACATTTACGCAACGCACCGTTAGCGACGAAACTATATTCCCTACGAAATACGGTAAGTATTCAAGTACTCACGTACTTTCGCGAGTAAATGTAATTAATTAATAAATCGTTATACACTTTGCGCTACCAAGTAACGTGACGTTATCGAGATTTATCATTTATTGATCGATCGGATTTATTATTGATCTTATTCGTGTTTACGTTATGCAATCAGCCTGAGAATGACGAGAGCGATGTTATTAATTTCGCCGACGATGATATTTTTCAGCAAACGAGTTCCCGAGCTCATTCGAGTCGATAGTGCGTAAGATCCTGCGGCTACTGTACCACGTAGTGGCACACATTTACCACTGCCACTTCAGAGAGGTGGCGCTTTTGGGGTTGCACGCTCACCTCAATTGTGTATTCGCCCACCTCACGCTCCTTAATCAACGCTTCAACCTTATAGATCCCAAGGAGACGGAGATCCTGGGGGACCTAGAGGCCGCCCTCTTGGGTAAGCTTTATACGCCGCCACCGCGACCGTCGTCGTCGCCGCCGCCGCCGCCGCCGCCGCCGATGCGGTATTGATCGATGCCGATTACGCAATGCCGGCGAGAGATCCGAGACTGGATTGCGCGTTTCGAGCGACGGAATATTTCCTTCTTGACGATCGATAGGGACACGTATCTCGAGAGAAACCTTCTCTCCGCGTAATCTTTTCTCGTAACGAACGAACGAGTCAATTCAAAAATTTCAAATCAAGCTAGAGAGAAATTTATTTAAAGAAAAAATGATTATGTACAGAGGTGATTATGTACGTGTCTCCTATAATATTCGTTATCGTTAACGGAAGACTTGGCTATGTCGATACAGACTTACAGAAAAGAATCTTCCTTGTTATGGATTTATTATGCGATTAAGGGATGAACCCAATTACGTGATGTATTAAGTGTATATTTAGTTGATTACGTTATTCGTGGAAAGATCGATTTTAATACTATCGATTCTTCCCTTGGTTGTTGCTTGCAGGTGACTCGACATCCACGCCTTCGCAGACCTTAGCCATCCAGGAGACTCCGACCACTACGAACACTAGCAGTACCACCTAGATCGCTGCGATGCGTTTTAGCGAGCGAGCAGAGGTTGCAGTTCCTGAGACTAGGTGACGATAGGCGATACGTTCGTTCGTTCGGTTTCTTTTTATCTCCTTTTTTCTTTTGTAGATTACATGCGAAAAATAAGTTTATTGCGATACGATCGATCGGTAAGAGAGAGAGAGAGAGAGAGAGAGAGAGAGAGAGAGAGAGAGAGAGAGAGAGAGAGAGAGAGAGAGAGAGAGAGAGAGAGAGAGAGAGACGAGACGAC